CATAAAACTCAAACCATTCATTCACTGTGTAATTAATAACCCAATTAGTCAAGAGTTTAATTGAAGAGGAACATCACCTAAATCTTGGTTTGCCTCTGCCTAACAGGTAACCGGAGCTCAACCACTCATGGTGGTGTCGATAGAAGCTGGAAAGTTAGAATTGGAGTTGGTCATGGTGATGAAGACGTGATCGACAATGAGATGGCATGCTTCGTGGCTAGAGAAGACAATGAAATCACTCGGAAGATGAAAAGACGCAACTTGCTGAAAAATGTTAGCTTCTAGTAGTGGTTCCTGGCGGATGGTGGTGGAATGATGATTTGAATGTATTGGGAGGTAGAGCTTGAGATGGGGAGTAAGGATCAACAGTTGGGGAGGTGCAACATTATCAAAAAGTGAGCGAAATTTTGTGTGGAAGTTGAAGATTCATGAAATGCAAAGTGTGAATCTCATCGAAAAACAGTCAAATCAGTAGAAAGAAACCTCCGGGAAGGTGAGATGGCATTAGGGGAAGATGAACCGTTGCCTGAGAGGCCAAGCAATTGTCGAAAAATGGCAAAATCAGCCCAGAAAATTGAAGAGATGCGTAAGATGGGGGGATGATAATGGTGGTCAAAAATGGTTTGTAAATGAGGTGATTTTGGAAGTTAAGGAGTCACCGGAGATGTTTACTGGAGTGAGATCAAAGAGGGAGAAGGATAGGCTTTTCAAGTTTTGAGATTGCTCCTGGAAAAATCGCACAAAGCTTTCCTTTTATAGAATTTGCAGCAAATATTTTTGGACCCTGTAGATTGAAAAGTGACAAAATCAACACCTGGAAATGTGACATTTTATCCCTTGAACAATATAAACGAGACAAATTCAGCCCTAATCAATAAACCATAGAGGTGGAAAAGTAACCCGCTCGGCCCGACCTGACCCGGCCTGCGGCGGGTTACGTAAATTGGCGGGTTGGTCCTGACCCGCCCGCCAACATTGGAAGGTCGGGTTAGGCCCGCCAATTTTGGGGAATTGGCTAGCCTAACCCGGCCCGCCAACCCTAACTCGCCAGGTTAGGCCGCAGGTCGGGCCGGGTTAACCCCCTTTTTTATTATTATTTTTTTTTTATTTTGTTTTGTTTTGTTTAAGTTTAAATGTTTAATTAAATTTTCAAATGAATAATTAACAATTTATAAATGAATATATGTAATATTTTTTAGTTAACTTCCTTTCAAATATCAATAATTCAATTATATTAAAAAAAATTTTTGTTAACATTCCAAATATTAATTCAATTTTAATACATTAAAATTGTAATATAAGAAAAATTAAATTTATTCATTTATTAAAAAATAAAATAAGAAATTACAATAATTATTGTCTCGTTAAAAACCTCACCAAGAAAAACCCAATGGGACAAAAACTTGGTAAGGAAAAAAGAGTGCAATAATTGAGAATTAATTTACAAGTTACAATTTACAAAACAACTAATTTTGGGGTTGACTAGGACCTCCCTCATCCGTATCATCTATATTACAAAATTGAAATGATTCAATGATACTAGAAATAAAGAATGTGCCTGTGCATTTTCTCAGTGCAGGAAAGGAGCTTTGATCAATATTATGACACTTAGAAGAAAGACGATGTAAAAGATCATTGCAATAGGATTATGAATGTAGTGTCGAATACTGCTTAACCTAAAAACTTAAACTTAAGGTAGGACCTAACCCTAGTATTAAGCTCTCCCACAACCTCCCAAACTGTCTAATGAATCAAGGCAAAGCAAACCCATACAACAAATGAAATTGCAAGTAAAAATATTAGCACATGACATGTACTAGAGCAATCAACCAAAACAAATAATAAAGAAAAGACACAATTACAAATGCAAATGCATAGAAGTGAACTTTACTCTAACCACATTAACACTAGTAGAACTTAAACTTACAATAAAGGCATAAAACTACATTAAGCTCTCTGATACAAGGTCAAGGGTTAGTCAAAAGAGAGAAACAATAAAATTAAAAAAATAAAGGGCCTGGTGAGCCAAACAAAAAGATCTTGCATTCTGCTGAAATTTTGTAACGCAATGTGTTTGACTTCTGAGAAACCATGAGCATGGGGAATCAATTCAAACTCTCATCCATGTGGGAAGTAAAATAAAATGACAGATTTTTTTTCTACTGAAAAGAGTAAATTACTTAAAAGATTATCATATTACTACTCTCGCTATAACAATGAAATTTTTCATCTAAACCTAAACATAAAACCTGACACCAATCTAGAAATCATAAAGCAGTACAAGGAGATGAAAAATCATTACAAAGTACTGAAAGTTGAAATTTTGAACTTAAAGTACATTAGAAAATTCACAAAAAGGGCAACATGTCAAAAACTGAATGAAGAATTAAACAACCATGAAAACAGGTTTTATGATCAATTAATCATTTACCCAAAGATCTTCTATTAGAAGAACAAACATAATAAATTTAAATGATACGCTATACACACGAACTTGTCCAAACATAGTCTATAAGTGTCAGTATCAAGTGAACCAATTTCTATAGGAAACAATAAAACATTCTAAAGTGTGCGTAGCTTTCACAAGAATATCATGAGATTCATGATAAATCATCACAAGAAACAATGAAACAGCACATTCTACTTCTAGCACTTCATATAAACTTATCATAATTTCTTAGGAGCATCATTTATTTCAAACAAAGAATGAAAATCACATGCATGAAGTATAAACTCATTGATTCAATGCATGTAAACCTAGCCGGAATTAATTTCTAGAATACTACTTATCCAAAAAATAAATCAGACATCAAATTGGTAATAAAAACGAATTTCAGAGGTCTTAGCCAAATCAAATATTGTTGTTTTGAAATAATTCACATCTGGATCAGCTTGTCAATTGACTTCCTAAGTCAGATTTCAAAAGGTTAGTGAAACTCACTTCACATTCAGATCCAATAAACCTCTTGATTCATCAGCTCTCCTCCGTCAGTACAAATTAAAAAATACTGGCATTACAAATTCTTAACATCTTTTAAAGCATTATGAAGAAAGAAATTAAAGTAATTATTGTCATCGGAAATATAATATCAAGTTATTCATTTTGAAGGTATCTGTTGATGTGATTTTGCACATCTAGACCAATAGACTAGTGATTTGCTTCAGACATCTCTTAATGCAAGAGTGAATCAAGAAGTGAAAATGCAAACAATAATAATTCAATGCGAGGTCAAAGTAAAGCTATCATGTACCCACACTAGAAATTTGTAGTACCTGTTCTCCCTTTTCTAGCTTTGCCTAGCATAAAAACAGTATGCTTAGCTTCTTCTCAAACCATCCATCAGTTAACCTCTGCAATGGGGATTGAATTTCTCAGAATCTAAGATACCTTCTCCCTCTGTCAAGGAAGAAGCATTCATCGTACCTCCCACATTTTCTAAGCCATTGGCTCTTCCCCAGGTGCAGCATAGTTAAATAATCTCCCACAGGACATAACACCCAGCTTCATCCCATGCTATATACATTGTCCGCGATGAACCTGTAAACATGACAAAATTTTGAAATTATTAATCAAGTAACTCTCAAATAAAAGTAAGCCGTCTCAAAGTATAGTCTCTGGATCCTGAGGCTAATTCATTTGTCAATTCTAGGAATTTGACTAAGAATAAAGGTATAATCCACAGAAAACAATTTTCAAACTATGTCTAAAACTCAAAAACCAGAATCCAAGAGCCAATTATTTAGTATGCATTAGTTGTGATAGATTCTAACAGTTCCAGAAGCCCAAGCCATGTCATAATGAGACAAGTTGAGGCTTAAGCTGAAGTTGTTCCATTAGTTTACTGGCTTCTTTCCACTCTATTTCAGCTTTCAACACAGCCTTCCCCGCAGCCCATATAGCATCATCCACCTAAAACCAGTTAACTGTTAGAGAAACTAACAACTAACTTAATTCACTTCTAAAAACCAAAAACAAAGGAAAGGAAATGAAAAATTTACGAATTAAACTATACTTGCAGAGCTTGCTGCCAAATTGGCCAAAAGTTGCAAGTATGTCATAACTCCCGTGGCAGAAGCATCAGTAAGGATGCCACCGTGAATTCTTTCCTTTACCCACTCATATATAACATACCATCAATACTACATTGCAAAGAAGATAGAAAAAGCAATTAAATTTAAAAAAGAAGCAAACAATAGATGTTGTAAAGAAGCAATGAAATAGAAACCTGGCAGAGGAAGAGAAGGGTGTGAATTGACAGCATGAGATAGATTGTGATCCTTATTCAATAAAGATCGTGTTGTAAATAAAGCTGATTTTGGGACTTTGGGATCACCTCTCCTTCTCTAATACCTCTCACGCACCCAATCCTCTTCTGCAATAATTACGAATGAATAAATACATTTACATTACAGAACACAACAGAATTACGAATAATAATAAACATTTACTTACCCGCCTGCTAGAGGGAAATGAGGATGGTAAGAGAATGGCCTAAAGAAGAATGAGGTGAGAAGGGACCCATTTGAAGAGTCTGTTATTCCGAGTGTGCTGCCCATTTCAGTAAGTTTTCAAGCTGTTTTTCTTCTATTTCCATCTCTTAGTTCAGTGGGTTGAAGAAAGGGTTTTAAATAGGTTTGGTTATATTATATTTGATTCAAACAATCACAAAATAATTCTATTTTTTAAAACCATTTATATTGATTGAAAATGAAAATTATTTAGAAAAGAGAGGAAATTTAAGCATTAATGCCTTCTGAAGTAGAATGATCCATCTTCGTCATTTTCTTAATTTAATTATTTGTTTGTTTTCTTGAATTGTTTTTGGGACGTATGGAAGTGATGATTATTTCCCCAGATGAACGACGTTGATTAAACTGAGCGATTTGTTTCTCTTTTGAGAGAATCCAAGCCAGGAATCTGATCCATTCTTTTTTATCATTAAATTTTTTATGGGTTTTTTTTTTAAGTTAATGTATGATTCTATTAGGCACAAGGTGAGATGGATGTGATGATTATTTCCCCAGATGATCGAAGTTGATTAAACTGAGCGATTTTTCTCTATTTTGAGAATCCAAGCCAGAATTCTGATCCATCAATCAATCTTTGTGCTATTTCATTAACTAAAGTCTAGAATCCGTAATGTGGAAAACTGAGTTTCTCTTTTTAATTATGTGTCCAATCTTAGTTGAAACATAAGTTTCTAAAATTTTCACGACGGCTGGACCACTGGAGCTACCTCTGAGCAAGAATACTTTCAAGTTCAACTTGAATGTATATAAATCCTGGAAATCCCTGTTTTGTTCTGTAATTCATTAATCAAAGACTTGTGTTTCTTTCGACAATGGACGCGGTTTTGAGTGATTACTTTGAGATCCCCAGTAATCTGTAAATCGCCCTTCTCCCTCTCTATGGTTCTTGAAGGGTGTTTTTATTCTGAGAAAAATTTGAATGATGGGTTCGGTGTAGGATCTGGTTCGGTGTAGGATCTGATTGGCAACCATGAAATTGGTTGCTGGAAAGAGGTTTAGCCAAAGAAAGCTACAGTTAGTTCTGGATTTAGATCATACATTGCTTCATTTTCAGGACATCCATGGACCATAAGTATTCTTGATGATAACCAAAGAAAAAGAGAACTTAATAGTAATGGTAAAATGTAATTATTTTAGAGATGAAAAGTTTAATAATAGATCTTTCTCGGAGAAGAAGAGACATGAGGATGAAGCTTCTTGCAAACGTTCTCGGAATTGTAATACAAATCCACGGATTATTCTTTGAAGATCCAAAAAATCTTGGTTGCCAAGATGTTAGAACATTTTTACTCTTCTGTGACACATTTGGTGTCACCAAACAATACGATTGAGGATTGTGAATGGGCACAACTAGGAGATATTTCGTCCATCCTCCGTGGATTTATACAATGCTGCTTATTATTTATGGCATGAACGACCTTTCAGTTTTGGATGTTTTCCTTTGATTGTTATGGAGAGATTTGGTTTTGGATATTGGTTTCAAAAGTGATTCAAGTTGATAGGTTAAAGCACGAATTAGAAACAAAATACAATTTACAGAATAAGAGGGACCAAAAATTATGACCAAACCTCTTTGCAGGAGATTAACAGCAGGAAATTATGGCACTAAGAAATTAATATATGGCATTAGATGCAAGAAACAAAACAGTATCTGCAATATGCTTCGATCACAATCCCTTTCAACCATGGATTCACCCAAAATGTTCAAAAACTCACTGTAACTTTTAATCCAGAAATCCCTTCCATCTTTCAACTGGGTATGTTTACAAGAGTATCTATTGACGAGGGAACTTGATTATGGCCATAGGATGATTAGTCTGTCTAAAATCTTAACTAACTGATATCGGACAGAGTAAAATTAATTTTGATTCATAAAGGATGTTACCTCATGAGCTCTTTAGTTCTGACAGTTGAAACATTTTTACACAAGAGTGAATTGATTATCTCAGAACAATAAGAAATGCAATCAGCAAGAGTTGTCTTATATCTAAGTCTCCATTGAACTGCTAATTTCCACCTCTCTATCGACAATTTAGTCTTACCAGAAAATGATAATTCACCACCATTCTTTCCACTTTGCACACCATTGTCTTCTAAGAATGTGCAAGCCTCACCTCCAAAAGTTGACAAAACCCTTTTTAGCTCCATAGGGGTTTTGTAATCTTGGATTTTGTCGATGGTAGACAGCAGCAAGTTGTCTTCTTCACTTGAAGTTGGCAAATTCTTCAACTGACCAAGGCACTTCTTTGATATCCATTTCATGACAGATACCTCATTGTCTACGGAGAGTTGACATCCTGAATAAGCAAGGTGTCCAACTGATCTTCGCTGGTTCGCTGGTGTCAGCCATAGCCGCAAAGCAGATAATAGAGCAAATGACGGCTTCCCATTTTGATGTATATATTGTGATTCCTTGGGCCACGAACCAGAGGAATAAATGCCAGTGTCCAAGGGTATAAAAAACTTGTCATTTGGATTTTCATCTAAAAGAAACCCATAGTGTTCGAGAAGCTCTAAATTTGTATATGTTCCATAACTTAATAGAACCTGCAGATAACAAAGCACCGATTCAATCCCCATCTAGCCTCATCATGGACACATCAGAGAATACATTAATTATATATGCCAATGAGAGGTCTATTTGAATGTCAACATTGATCATCCAATAGTCATTCTCCATGCTAGAAAAGGCACCAGTTGATAAGGTTTATTAATTAATTTCTAGGATATTACAATGATACTAGAAATAAAGAATGTGCCTGTGCATTTTCTCAGTGCAGGTAAGGAGCTTTGATCAATATTATAACACTTAGAAGAAAGACGATGTAAAAGATCATTGCAATAGGATTATGAAGTGTAGTGTCGAATTACTGCTTAACCTAAAAACTTAAACTTAAGGTAAGGACCTAACACTAGTATTAAGCTCTCCAACAACCTCCCAAACATGTCTAATGAATCAAGGCAAAGCAAACCCATACAAACAAATGAAATTGCAAGTAAAAATATTAGCACATGACATGTGACTAGAGCAATCAACCAAAACAAATAATAAAGAAAGAACAGAAATACAAATGCAAATGCATAGAAGTGAACTTTACTCTAATACCACATTAACACTAGTAGAACTTAAACTTACAAATAAAGGCATAAAACTAGCATTAAGCTCTCTGATACAAGGTCAAGGGTTAGTCAAAAGAGAGAAACAGATAAAAATTTAAAGAAAAATAAAGGGCCTGGTGAGCCAAACAAAAAGAATCTTGCATTCTGCTGAAATTTTGTAACGCAAATGTGTTTGACTTGCTGAGAGAAACCAATGAGCATGGGGAATCATATTCAAAACTCTCATCCATGTGGGAAGTAAAATAAAAAATGACAGATTATTCTTCACTGAAAAGAGTAAATTACTTGAAAGATTATCATATTACTACTCTCGCTATAACAATGAAATTTTTCATCTAAACCTAAAACATAAAACCTGACACCAATCTAGAAATCATAAAGCAGTACAAGGAGATGAAAAAATCATTACAAAGTACTGAAAGTTGAAATTTTGAACTTGAAAGTACATTAAGAAAATTCACAAAAAGGGCAACATGTCAAAAACTGAATGAAGAATTAAACAACCATGAAAAACATGGTTTTATGATCAATTAATCATTTACCCAAAGATCTTCTATTAGAAGAACAAACATAATAAATTTAAATGATACGCTATACACACGAACTTGTCCAAACATAGTCTATAAGTGTCAGTAGCAAGTGAACCAAATTCTATAGGAAAACAGATAAAACATTCATAAAAAGTCTGCAGTAACTTTCAACAAGAATAATCATGAGATTCATGATAAATCATCACAAGAAACAATGAAACAGCACATTCTACTTCCAGCACTTCATATAAACTTATCATAATTTCATAGGAGCATCATTTATTTCAAACAAAGAATGAAAATCACATGCATGAAGTATAAACTCATTGATTCAATGCATGTAAACCTAGCCGGAATTAATTTCTAGAATACTACTTATCCAAAAAATAAATCAGACATCAAATTGTAATAAAAACGAATTTCAGAGGTCTTAGCCAAATCAAACATTGTGTGTTTTAGGAAATAATTCAATCATGGATCAGCTAGTCAATTGACTTCCTAATTCAGATTTCAAAAGGTTAGTGAAACTCACTTCACATTCAGATCCAATAAACCTACTTGATTCATCAGCTCTCCTCTAGTCAGTACAAATTAAAAATAAGTGGCATTACAAATTCTTAACATCTTTTACAGCATTATGAAGAAAGAAATTAAAAGTAATTATTTGTCATCGGGAAATATTAATATCAAGTTATTCATTTTGAAGGTATTCTGTTGATGTGATTTTGCACATCTAGGACCAATAGACTAGTGATTTGCTTCAGACATCTTCTTAATGCAGAGAGTGAATCAAGAAGTGAAAATGCAAACAATAAAATAATTCAATTGCGAGGTCAAAGTAATGCTATCATGCTCCCACACTAGAAATTTGTAGTACCTGTTCTCCCTTTTCATAGCTTTGCCTAGCATAAAAACAGTATGCATTAGCTTCTTCCTCAAACCATCCATCAGTTAACCTCTGCAATTGAGGATTGAATTTCTCAGAATCTAAGATACCTTCTCCATCCCCCTCTGTCAAGGAAGAAGCATTCATCGTACCTCCCACATTTTCTAAGCCATTTGGCTCTTCTCCAGGTGCAGCATAGTTAAATAAATCTCCCACAGGACATAAACACCCAGCTTCATCCCATGCTATATACATTGTCCGCGATGAAACCTGTAAACATGACAAAATTTTGAAATTATTAATTCAAGTAACTCTCAAAATAAAAGTAAGCCGTCTCAAAGTATAGTCTCTGGTATCCTGAGGCTAATTCATTTGTCAATTCTAGGAATTTGACTAAGAAATAAGAGGTATAATCAACCAGAAAACAATTTTCAAAATATGTCTAATAACTCAAAAACCAGAATCCAAGAGCCAATTATTTTAGTATGTATTAGTTGTGATAGAATTCTAACAGTTCCAGAAGCCCAAAGCCATGCTTTAAATGAGACAAATTGAGGCTTAAGCTGAAGTTGTTCCATTAGTTTACTGGCTTCTTTCCACTCTATTTCAGCTTTCAACACAGCCTTCCCCGCAGCCCATATAGCATCATCCACCTAAAACCAGTTAACTGTTAGAGAAACAACTAACTTAATTCACTTCTAAAAACCAAAAACAAAGGAAAGGAAATGAAAAATTTACGAATTAAAACTATACTTGCAGAGCTTGCTGCTCAAATTGGCCAAAAGTTGCAAGTATGTCATAACTCCGTGGCAGAAGCATCAAGTAAGGATGCCACCGTGAATTCTTTCCTTTACCCACTTCATATAATAAACATACCGTCAATATCTACATTGCAAAGAAGATAGAAATAAGCAATTAAATTTAAAAAAGAAGCAACACAATAGATGTTGTAAAGAAGCAATGAAATAGAAAACCTGGGCAGAGGAAAGAGAAGGGTGTGAATTGACAGCATGAGATAGATTGTGATCCTTATTCAATAAAGATCGTGTTGTAAATAAAGCTGATTTTGGGACTTTGAGGATCAACTCTCCTTCTCTAATACCTCTCACAGCACCCAATCCTCTTCTGCAATAATTACGAATAAATAAATAAACATTTACATTACAGAACACAACAGAATTACGAATAATAAATAAACATTTACTTACCCGCCTGCTAGAGGGAAATGAGAGATGGTAAGAGAATGGCCTAAAGAAGAGTGAGAGTGAGAAGGGACTCCATTTGAAGAGTCTGTTATTCCGAGATGTGCTGCCCATTTCAGTAAGTTTTCAAGCTGTTTTTCTTCTGTTTCCATCTCTTAGTTCAGTGGGTTGAAGAAAGGGTTTTAAATAGGTTTGTAAACCGAATGATGCGGCGAAATACTGCTGAATTTGTGGAGACGTGACAAAATCTTCACTATTTATTAATATTAATTTACAATGAATCTGCATAAATTTGATACGCACCCTTTAGTAATTATACCATTTTTCTATTATATTTGATTCAAACAATCACAAAAATAATTCTATTTTTTAAAACCATTTATATTGATTGAAAAATGAAAAGTATTTAAGAAAAGAGAGGAAATTTAAGCATTATGCCTTCTGAAGTAGAAGTGGAAAAGTAACCTGCCCGGCCCGGCCCGGCCCGTAGCAGGTTACGCAAATTGGCGGGTCGATCCTGACCCGCCCGCCAACATTGGCAGGCTGGGTTAGGCCTGCCAACTTTGGTGGATTGGCTGGCCCAACCTGGCCCGCCAACCCTAACCCGTCGGGTTAACCCCCTTTTTTATTTTTTTTGATTTTGTTTTGTTTAAGTTTAAATGTTTAATTAACTTTTCAAATGAATAAATAACAATTTATAAATGAATAAATGTAATTATTTTTAGTTAACTTCTTTTCAAATATCAATAATTCAATTAAATTAAATTTTTTTGTGTTAACATTTCAAATATTAATTCAATTTTAATACATTAAAATTGTAATATAAGAAAAATAAAATTTATTTATTTATAAAAAAATAAAATAAAAAATTATAATAATTATTGCCTCGTTAAAAACCTTACCAAGAAAAACCCAATGGGACAAAAACTTAGAAAGGAAAAAAGAGTGTAATAATTGACAATTAATTTACAAGTTATAATTTACAAAACAACTAATTTTGGGGTTGACTAGGACCTCCCTCATCTGTATCATCTATATTACAAAATTGAAATGATTTTATTAAAGTATCGTCGAGAACCTCGTATTGATCTTGATGGCGCGACCATTCCCAATCTCGAAGACATGTGAGGACTTCAATCATTTTTTGTGAAAGTTTAGTCCTCATTTCATTTAAAATTCTTCCACTTGCACTAAATGTTTGTTTGGATGAGACGGTTGAGACTGGAATAGCAAAAACATCCAAGGCAAGTCTTGATAATACCGGAAAAATACATTTTCTGGTTTTCCAATATTCCAAGACATCAAAGTTGGCTCTTTGTTGGGAATATGTTGGTAACATTTCAGGAGTTCCCAAATATTGTTGAAGCTCGTTACTCTGTGACTGCATGGCGGACAGTAGATTCGTTGTTGCCGTTGGTGCTTCTGAAGAGGAGGTTGTGCCTGTGCTTCGGGTTTGGTTCCTCTTCGGCCTATTAAATGCACTCCAGGTGTAGAAGTCTTCATTTATTTCTTCTGATGAAACTTCCCTTTGTATTTCGTGTCTTTGCGGGTTCCCATACCTGTTTTCATATTGGAAATATACCTCTGCAAGACAATTTTTTACCTCTCCTATTTGATTGACAAATGCTAAGTTTTGTAAATTTTCAGTTAATGTCTCTAAACCATTTTCTAAACCTTCTTGTTTAATTCTAGGATAAAAAATGGCACCTAAACAATAAAGAAAAGGAATGGGTTTAAAATATTTTTAAAACAAAATTTCCATTGCCTTTATTAGTTCTTTTAAAATTTCATTGTTTTTGTTTTTTATAAATAACTCTGAAATTTTTACAATTGTATGTGTTACCAATGGATTAGTAGGATAATACACACTAGAAAGTTGTAAAGTGAATTGGTAAAATTTTTTAAGAAAAGAATGAAATACTTTAGCTATTTGCCAATCATTTTCTACCAAATAATGAGGACCTCTATTATTTGCTACAAAATAACTAATTAAATTAGCATAAGGTAAACATGAATCAAGCATTAAATAAGTACTATTCCATCTAACAGGCATGTCTAATGCAAATGTTCTAGGAGACATATTTGATTTTATACAAGCATCTTGAAATTCAGCATTTCTTTTATTACTACCAGTAATCCAAGCTAAACAATCTCTAATTCTATCAATATTTTCTTTAATTGTTTTCATACCACTTTTCACAATTAAATTAATAACATGACATGCACAACGTTGGTGAAAAAACTTCAAATTGTTATATAAAGGATAATTACTTTGAAAATAATCTATAGCTATACTATTAGGACTTGCATTATATAAAGTTAAACTTATCACTATACTAACAATATCATAATCTTCTAAAACTTCAACAATTTTATTATAAATTTGTTGACCACTATGATCAACATCCATTAATCTAAATCCTAATAAAGATTTATTTAATTTACATTCATTATCAAAATAATGACTAGTCACACAAATATAATCTTGTTTAGCTCTACCACTCCAAATATCGGCAGTTAGAGCTACACTAACATGACAAGTATGTATTTTATTTTTTAATTCTAATTCATTTTCTTAAACAATTTTATTAAATCATTTATAGTTGCAGTTTTAGAATAACTTTTAAATCCTGGAAAAAATGAATTTTTAATAAATCTTTCAAAATATTTATCTTCAGCCATATTAATAGGTTGATCAGTTGCAGTAATATATAAAGCTAATTGTTCCCTATATACATCAGAATTATAACGCCAAGAAGTACCCACATTAGTTATTTGAGTTTGATTGGTTTCTCTATTTCCATGTTGAGCAATATGTTTATTAGTATGCTTTTTTAAAGTACTAGTATCATTACCTGAATCCGCTTTATAAACATTTCCACAATACTTGCATTTTGCTTTCTTCACATGAACTCCATTTTCTACCTCGTAAAACTTATCGAAATGCGTCCAAACGTCTGATGTGTGTCTGTCGTCGCTTTCGACAGCAATTGATGAACCTGCTTCAGCTTGAGATGAAGTTGGACGAGGACAACGATTACGAGGACGACTTCTAGAACCACCGAGAGCTGTATGGGGAGGAATCGGGGCATATTTTGAGGTGTATCGGATTCTGAGATTGGGAAAGCTGCGGGACTATTTGAATCTCCTACATTTATGTTAGTAAAATCAGCGGGACTAAGACTAGGATAGTAGTTTTCTTCATCATTGATATTGATGGGAGAGAAATATCTATCCATTGTAGTTGAACAAAAAATTGATGTAGAAGAAATAAAAAAAAATTAAAGAAAGAGAATTGGAATATGGAAATTGGAAAATTGGAAATATGAATTGAAAATTGCAAAAACTAATAAAAATTAAAATAAGAGCAAATTGATAACAAAGAGATTAAGAGAATAAATTAATAATTGAGAGATTAGAGATTAGAGAAAATGAGAGAATGAGAGAATTTGAGTTGTGAGAAAAGATGAGAGTTTAGGGTCAATTTATAGAAAAAAAAAATAGGAAAAGAAAATGACGAAAAAGACCCCTCCAACAGCTATATTTCAAGGGTAAAAGGGTAATTGGAAAAAACAAAATAATTTTTCTTTTTTTTTTATTTGTTTTTTGGCCAACCCGCGGGTCAACTCGGCTGGTTGGCCGTTGGTGCAACAGCCAACACGTCGGGTTGGTGATCCTTTCTCTGGAAAGGACAAAACAATAACCTACGGGTTGCCGGGTTGCCATTTCTCAACCCGACCCGCCCGAGGTTGCTGGCAGAACCCGGCCCGCCTTATTGGCGGTCCAGGTTGAACCCTCTTGAATGCGGGCTGGGTTAGGGTTGACCCGCCTAACCCAGCCCATTTGTTCCACCTCTATTCTGAAGTTTGGAATTGAGAATATGGCTAATCTTTTTTATTCTTTTTATCAGTTTGAAATACGGACGTGGCACACTTAAATATAATTAAAGCAGCAAAAAGGGTTAGGGTGCAAAGATTTAAACATTTATGGGTTACATGATAGCAAAAAGAAGTTGGATTTAAAATTTGAGAAGCCAAAACAAATTCCTGGTTGTCGCAAAACGCGATTGAACACCCACCTTTCTCTTTGGTTTTTCTTCCCGTTTTCTGTCATCATTGAATTTTTTTGCTCTTTGCATTTTTGCCATTCCCCTGATAGTTACAATGGCTAAGATTAACAAAGAAACCAAGAAAAACCCAGCCATTTTCTACATTGTAGGCTCTAGTGGTTCTTCGAAAAATGGAGAAGAAGAGGTTGCGGTGGAGCAACTTCCGACGATTGAAGTTGCTCCATCGACAGAGGAAGAGATGCAAGGCACCCATAATGTAGCTGAAGACAATGATGCTGACAAAAAGTCTGGCCAAGAGGTGGAAGAAGAGGAAGAACAGGTAATATTCATTGATATTTTATGAAGATATTGGTTGTGGGTGCCAATTTGGGGGATATTTGCTTAGTGTTAGTTTGATTGGAGAAGTTCTGGTGATTATTGTATTTTGTTGAGCATTTAGAAAGCATCGGGGGAGTGGGTTTTTTTGGCTTCTAGAGGATCGAGGAAGCCAAGGCAGGTCCTAGGGAGGTTGTTTGTGGCAGGTTGGTTGGCCACGCACAAACAAGCACCCCCCCCCCCCCCCCCCCCCCCCCCTCCAACCGTATGCGTTTCGACACTCTTCTGTCAACTCCAACCAACCAACTTGCCGCAAACAGCCTCCCTAGTACCTATCTTGGCTTCCCCGGTCCTCTTGAAACCAAAACCACCCACTCCCCTAATGCCCTCCAAGTGCTCGACAAAATGCACCAATCACCCAAACTTCTCCGATCAAACCAACACGAAGCCCATATCCCCTTGATTGGCAACCTATTGCTTGTTTTGGTTTCTTTTTGGTATGATGCTCCTATGCTGGTATTCAGTTTCTATCTATTCTACAGTGTTCTAGGAGCATAAATGTTAAGGAATTTGGGCTTGAGGTTATTATGGATGTTGTACCATACTTCCCTACAAGGGTTACGATGAGGTCAAGTTGGCAAGTCTTTTCCAAAATTAAGGAGATTCTAGGTGGGCAGAGGAAAGGTATGGACCAGTTCAGAATGAGTTGTTTTGGTCATTTTGTGGAGTTAGGTGAAAATTGGAATAGGGGCTTCTAGGGGCAAGCTGCACATTATCTTTTGCTACAATCTGTTAGATGCAAAAAGAGAAATAAAATGTGGTTTGTGGTGGATGGGA